AAAATTAACGTGTGATTTATGGTTTTGATGATTAGACAAGATAGATTACAGAAAGAATAATATGATGTAACATTAGAGAGAGAGGTTAAAATATATTTGAACTTATAACTGCTGTGAAGAATATTAGAAGTCACTTCTTTGTATTTTTTTCCTTACTTTTCTATTTTTCCTCAATTATTTTCTTTTCTTTTCTTTTCTTTTCTTGCACTTTTTGCTTTTTCTTTGATTTCTTTTTTCCTTTTTCTTCCTTACTTTATATTAGTTTGTGTTAGTTTTTTTCTTCTTGTTTAAAAGCTTTAATAAAAATTATATAAAAATAGATAGAATGTGTTAGTGGTATTGGTTGGAATATGCTAAATAGTAAAAAGGTATGTATCAAAAATTAGAACTAAAATTGCATTTTAGTTGCAATCTAAAATGCAACTAAATTTCATTGAATTTTTAAAAATTCAAGTATAGCTATTATTTATTTGTTTATTTATTTTTCCATATCCTTAGTCCTTTTTGGAGAAAAATAAATAATGACTATCTGGTTGACTACACTTATAATGCCTGTGGTTCTTCACTTTAATTAACCAATTTTACATCTTCTAAACAGCAAAATCACAATTCCAGATTTCTTTTTAGTTCAATTACCCATAATTTATGCTTAAATTCTGCCCTTTTAAATCATGAGACCGCTTTCTGCAACTTCTAATTGTACTTCTACCTTATCAGATACCATTTCATAAGGAGGAGGAACTTGTTTAGTGATTCTGTTGCTTCTGACTCTGTGACCCAGTAGAGAAAATTTTACCAAGATTATCTTTCAGTAACTGTTTCTTTGACTTCTGATAAGCTCATGCTTGTTTCATTAGTGATAATATCTAGCCCCCTTGTCTTCTGTTGGCCTCGTAATTGCCTTTCAATTGCCTTTTTCATTAGAACCTCTTCCAATGACTCTTGCCTTCATGTTAAACATCCAAAATATTTATGCTTTACCTTTATTGCTACTACTTCATCTAGTATTGAATTTTTTTTTTTTAGGTCTGAGGTATTCTCAACAATATTCTGCAGCACCACAATCAAAGATATCATTTTTTTTTTCCTTCAGCCTTTCTGAAGGATCAGCCTTCACTGCCACATGTTACAACTGGGAAAACCCTTACCTTGTACATGTCTTTTTGTTAGTGTGATATCTGTGCACTTGAATAGTTTGTCTAGATCGGTCATAGTGTTTCTCCCCAATAGCAGAGGTTTCTCCCCAATAGTAGATGTCTGTGGGTGTCCAGTACAAACTGTAACAACAGAAAAAGATGAAACACACGACACAAATCCCAGCTTTTGTTACTTGTTTCCTGGTATTATGTGCAAGTACATAAGTCATGTGGTTGTTCTTATGATGTCACGATGCATATTTTGTCGTCTGCTGCCCCCTTGCCAAGCCCCATAGATACCTATGCAGATGTTTCTTCATTTCATGGCTATAATAACCATCCCTGTGAATTTTCAAGCCTAGCAAGGTGAAGTCTGAGAGCCAAGCTACAGTGGACATGAATCATGGGCTTGGATTGTTACTCTGTGTGTATATAAGTAGTCAAGCAAGAGAAATATTTCCTGAACTCATATGACCATATAATCAGGCTTCCTTATACCTACTTTATTAGAGGTTCCCAATGAAACCAGTAGAAACATACTTCATATTATTAATGGCAAGTACAAGTTCCACTTTTTCTAAAATTTAAAAAAAACACAGTGGCAATAGCTGTACCCAGCTGGGTAGTAATACCTAGTCAAATTTGACAAATCTCAAAAAACTAAGAGTTGGACCTAGTTTCAGCACCTGGATGAGCGACAACCCAGAAATATCAGGACTTTAGGCTAGAATGGAAGTTGAAAATGGCACATCACTTCCATATTATTGCCAAGAAAACTATGTAGAAGCAAACCTGAAATAATCAGGAATCAAGCTCAACTTTAAGGAAGTCTCTAGTTTAACAATACCTGTACATATTCTTTCAAATTATCTTTAAGAATGAAACTCAAGTATTAAGTATCTTTAACTTAATGACCGTTACTCCTCTGTGTTTTCACTGGTCCAGCTATTTAAAATGCTTGTCTAACTCCTTTAATTCCTTTATCTTTTTATCCAATAGTATTTTGTACAGTATCACCAAGAATTAAACTGATTCAGGCTTTCCCAGAGCACAATGCTCCAGACCCCATTCCAGTCATAGAACTAAATACTGGAGGACAGGTTTTCATTAAGCCTATGAGGAGAATCCTGTTACCTTTCCATTTAGCACTAGGTCAACATAACCAACATCACTGATATATTACCAAATTTCCAGTTAAGCAGGGAGGAGAGCAAAATATATGTCAAAAAAACAACAACTCTGGACTACTTTGTCACTGGTATCTTCAGATTTTTCAAAAAATATATTTTATTTAATTTTGTGGCAGCCAGCTAGGGGGAAAATGAACCTTTAAATACTTGGGGGGAGATTATTTTCTTGACTATTTGCATGGTTAATTTTATTTCTTCCCCTTTTTAAGTTTGTTTATTTTTAAAAGAGGAAAGATTCATAGAAAATATAAAATACAGCTATTACATAATAAAAGTTGCAGAATTATATGATAAAAGCAAAAAGAAATACAAACTATTCCATTGGAAAAAGCATCTCACTTTTAACCTTGTCTATCAACTTGGTTTGAAGCAAATATAAAGGTAGTTTTATGAGTTTTAATACAGGTAGTCCTTGGTTAATGATGGTAGTTGGGACCAGAATTGTCATTGCTAAGCAATGCAGTCATAAAGCACAATGTCATGTGACTGTACCGCTTAGCAACAGCAGTCCTGGTTGCCGTTGTTAAGCGAGGACCTCACATGACTGCAACTTCCAACTTCCTGCTGGCTTTCCCATTGCTTTTGCTTGTGGGAAGACAGCCGGGAATGTCAGAAATCGTGATCACATAACCACGGCTTGCAACAGCTGGAACTCCGAGGACCGGTTGTACCACTCATTCAGCGCTGTTGCAAGTTCGAAGAGTTATTGAACGAATGAATGTAAGCCAAGGACTACCTGTACTTTAGCAGTGTTTTGTTTAACTTATTAAGATCAAAATATCATCCTGGAGAAGGTCTATTTATGCAGTCACTAAGGGTTTACACTGACATGATGGCACATAATCAAAGTTGGATTTTAGATTAGCTAAGAAATCTATGTAATAAAAATAAAAAGTTCAGATCCTTTAGAACCCAAACCTCAGATGTGGCAGCAAGCCATGCACAGAATTGTATTCCATAAACCATTTCCAAGTTAAATTAACATTGAACTTGTTTTTCATAAATGAGATTATTTTGGACATTGTGGTGTACTCCAGTCTTCCAATGAAGAAATTAAATGTGATTTCCAATAAAAAGCATAAAATATCCTGGTGGCAGTTATCGTATGCAAAGCTAATTCAGTGTATTCTGTAGGTAGATAACATTTAGTAATACTTAACAGAAAAATAACTGGTAGAAAAGGAAAGTCAATATTTGGGACTTATTTCATCTTGCAACAAATCATCCTCCAGAATAATTGAGCTTTATGACATTGTCACCAGATATGGTGAAACATTCCAATCTGATTTTTAGATATCCAACAATTTTCTTAATATGTATTGACCATTTTAACAATCTTCACAGAAGTAATGTACCAGCAGAAGAACATCTTGTACGAATTTTCTTTTGTCTTCCACTGATAATCCCACTGTTGCATATCAGCTGTCCTATTTAAGATCTTCATATGGTTTTCTTTTGTCTTGCCACTGACTCCTAGTAATATTTCTTTGCTCTGAGGCTTGCAAGGCATTTTGCATCTCTGATAGTACCTGGCATTTTACATTGCATTAATACAGTAGCCTAAATCTATGCTTGTCGTTCTTTATAGTTAGATAAATCCTCTTAGAAGAGGTTTGGAAGATGAAAAGTTAATCTTTCAGGCATAAAGCTTTGGGGTTCTTTTCCCCTTAAAACATTCAAACATGTCATTTTTCTGAGAAAATCTGTTTACTTTGGAGCTCTCCCGAATTCTTTTAATGCAAATAAAATCAGGTTTCGAAACTAACAGATCTGTTCAAATTTAAACCCCATAAATTTAAACAGTGAAATTACGTGGCAAACTACAAAGGAAAAGCTGCCCACTCTCTATTCCACAGGCACAAGAGGAGAGTATTTCCAAAATACACATCTTGAAGGAGTGACTGATAGTCCATCTGTAATTTTAATTGCGTTTCTTTTACCAATCTGTTGTTGCCGGGGTCTTTTACAGAGGACAAATTGGAAAACCTTACGGTCCGTAGGCGAGTTAGGCTCGCTCTCCTCCGGGTGTCGCTGCAGAATTAATGCGCGCGGCTGGATTTGCAGATTGAATGGTTAATTGTGCAGGTTAAGTGCAAGGAGGAGCGGATGAATTGGACGATAGCAAGGAGGTGGTTGGCATTTTCTAAACAGTCGGCAGCCTCAATGCCTGACTTAACTGGGCGGTGGATACATTAAACTCTTGAGGCATTTAAGTGATCCCGACCTTGGGCCCACTGTATTCTGTAAAAGATGCTTTCCTTTTATATCTCCAGGCGAGCGGGGGTTGGAGCCGCAGCAACAGCCTCGAGAAGAGTGAGTAGCCCAGGCAGAAGGACGCTTTGTCCTCCACAGCCCGTCTCTTTTTCGTTAAGCAGTCACTACGGGAGGAGCTGCTGCCGGTGCCCTTCGGTGTATTGGCAAAGCCGAGGCAGAGGGCTGCGTTGTGCCCACCTAGCCACCTAGCAGCATGTCGCTCTCGGGAGGCAATTGCTCTACCAGCAACCTGAGTGAAATCGGAGAAAAGGAAGTTGGGCGGGAGGGCGCTGCCCCCAAACAAAATGGTATGACGTTCCTGGGCCACCAGGGGGTGAAGAGCAATCTGTGGCTTGGTAGGGGACGGCTCGCGTTTGTTTTTCTGCACAGATGTTCCCGTCATGATCAAAGTATCTGGAAAACTGTTTGCGTTCCCGGCGTGGCCCCAGCTCCACCCATAGTCAGCGCTTAATATCTATTCCACCTCGTTCTCCCCCTCCCCCACTAAATAGTTGGAAAGGAACAGCCACCTACTCCGGGTAGCTTCTCTGAAGCCAACAAAACTAAGGCGGGGCGGGTAAGTGGGGTTGAACCGATTTGCAACCATCCGTTGCAAAAGGTGGGCTTGGGAGTCGTGAGCAGGGTGGGGAGCAGGGCTGGATGATTGGTGTCGCTGTGTACTTGCGAGAGAAGCTGCTCGGGCCGGCTGTCGGGTTCCTTCCATGTCTACTGGGTGCAAAACACCATTCGCCAAAGGGCTGTGATTCGTGCCCCTGGTCCATTACGCTTAGATCTTGACGGGGTCTAGTGCAGCTGGCAGACCTCTGTTGCGGTGCAGTGATGTGAACTGGACAGCTGGGCTTAAGCTGGTTCATAAATATATTCCTGAAGAGTTCATTGTCCCCCGACTGTGATGTCGTTTATTAGTGGATAGAATTTGCAAAATAAAATTCTGTACAAGTGGAGACACCAGGAAATGTGGCGTTGGGTAAAGGTTAGCGCTTGTTTTACATCCATCTTGGAGGCAACTATTGTGGAGGGAAAAAGCCTTGCTTGATTTAAATTGATTTAAGCAGGCTCTTATCTACCTCTAGAGGATTGCTCCCCCGCTTTCCTGACATTAATTTAGAAGATAAGGCCTGAATTGCAAGGTAAACATGGCTAAAAGGCAGGCTTGTGGATAGTAACATTTTTTTTCTTAGTACGATTTAGCTCCATTGCTCAATCTGTACCACCTAGATGTAGGCATTGGTCCTACAAGTAACTTTCTCTTATAAGATGGATTTAGTCAGAAATAATTAGTTCAAAAACTAACAACAAACTGTAACTCACCCATCCGCTGCCTTTCATAAATAAATGATAAGAATATGTTCAATTATTCTGAAGTTATAATAAATTCATTAGTTATAGTGAAGAGAGCCAGTATGTATAGTGGTTGAAGATACTGGGCAAGAAACTCGGAGACGGTGAATTTTAGTCCTGCCTTAGGCTCAAAAAACAAACGAACAACTGGGTGACATTGGGTCCGTCACACTCAGCCCTAGAAAGAAGGCCATGGCAAACTAGTTCTGAAAACATTGCCAAGAAAACTGCATGGGCTTGTCCATTTGATTGCCAGGAGTTAAGACTGACATGCAGTGTATACTAAAAGCCAATTCAAACTGTATGGCTATCTGGTATGCTACTTTCATTTATTTTTATTTATTAATCAAATTTATATGGCTACCTATCTCACAAAAAGTGACTCTTTTGTGCCTCATGCTTGTTATTCAGTTTATCTCTTAATCTAATTGACATTCATAGAATTACAAGGAATGCTTTGCAGTCTGAGGAAAACTATACATATTTAAATTACTAAAATTAAAATATTTTTAATATTTGCATAATCCAAACAAAGAGCTTGGTTACAATAATTCAGTAGAGATAACTGATCTGGGCTGCAAAACCCAAAAAGCAAATGATCACTCAATAACATCACAGAGTTAGACCTTTTTGTATATCTTTGTTAGTGACTACCTTGAGTTTTGCAACCCAGGTCTGGTAGTGCTTAATAATCTAATATTTAAACTTGTAGCCACTTTGGATGACTTCTTGTTCTAGCAAATTTATTAATTGAATTGTTGAAAGTTAATTATGCAGCAGTTACTTTTTACAGAACAGAATCCTGTGAGAGATCTTAGGTTAATTAAAAATATGTTTGTATGATGTTATCAATATGGGAGTATACCTAGGTATTTTTGACTAATGCATATTTTCAGAGATATATTTTCCAGGTTTGAGGCATAAATTTGGTTGACATTGCTCCAGCCCATTGGATATGTTTCATTCAATAACTGAGCACAGATTACAATGGTTTCTTCATTAGATGTAGAAGTTTCTCATAGTAGATAGTAAGGCTTCTTTTCTTATCTGCACATCCCAGGTTACCTGTAAGGAATAGATTGTTAAATTGAAGTCTGCTCCTCCATTCCACTTAGATTTGTTGCTTCTTCCAACAAATCCTTTAAAATCCTTTCCCTATCTAAGCACTGCTGCATTGCAACTCACAGGAATTTCTGCATATAGAATTCCTATAGCTGTGTTTGTAGGATACTGCCATAGTTCCTTGCCATAATTTACTCAGATAATACAATTTTCTGGATCTACACATAATTATGAAACATAAACTAACCATAAGAATTTGGTTTGCACAGCACACTAGATTGAAATGTAGCTTCTGTTTCAGTGTGTTGTGTAAAAATGTTACATTTGAACTTTAGGGCAATAGCTTACAGTCACAGTTAAAAGACAGATGATGTGATTTTGTCCATTACTCTTAAACAATGTGACCCAATATATTGGGAGGCCTCTGGCATGGTGGAGCTGCAGGATAATTCCCCCTCCACTGCTCCAATCCCATCTGCTTGCATCTCTGGCAAGTTATAAGCATTATTTCCCATTAAGTGAGGATAGGAATTTTCCTCTGGTACATATTTATATGAATGTTGAATTCAGTAGAGTTTACTTCAATTGGAGCCTAGAATTAGATTAACTAGGGCTCAAGTTAGTAAAGGAATCTCTGTAGTTTCATATTCATTGGGTTCAAACATGGACCTAAGGTAGTGTTTATTTGACCATGGTTTATTGAATAATCATCTGGTGGGGTTCACATAAGATGCTAAGCCATAAGGCAGTCTAAAATAATGGAGTATTTGGGCCATATGACAGTGTAGGAATGCTTAAAGCAGCCATCAACAAAATTTTGGGGTTCTGAAAACAGTCAGTGTATGGTTGCTAGGAAAACAGCAAATTATATTTTAGGAATTATGAGTGTGATGAAAAATGAAACTGACAGTATTTTAATGCCTCTATGCAGATCTGTGATGTAGGCACATTTGAAATGGTTTCTGGTCATCCCGGCTAAAGATTCAGAGGAAACCAAAAAGGCTATCAAATTGAGCATTTTCTTTGTGAAGAGCATCTACAGGGTCAAAAGAATACTAAGTTATCCAGGAAAGCTGTCAGGAAATTCAGAACATATAAAAGTATGTTTTGTTATATATCACAAAATTTTATAGGATTCATATGACATAGTGATGACCATAGCTTGAAAAGTAAAATTTCCTTTGAGTTGGGCTTGACTCCTGCTGACTTCATGGATTCATCCATACAATCATCATATAGGTGGCTTTAAAAGTGGATTTGATAAGTTGGCCTATTGGCTGTTAATCATTATGTGTTTATTCACTTATTTGAGTTATCTACTGTCTCAATCCAAGACTCTAGGATTTAGTACAGATACTAAAATTAAAACAGTTATAAAATGATGATGATGATGATGATGATGATGATGATGATATGGGTTGCATAGATTATAGACAGTGCCAGCATGTCTACAGAAAGAAAAGTTGGTCCAAAATTGAGTTTATAAAACTGATGCAGGCTTTTCTGCTCAAAATACAAGCAACTCGTTTGTTGATTACTGTATATTGCATCATCCATATTCATCAGACTTTATAAAGTATAAAAGGACAGGCATATATATAAAATTGATTGACAAAATGGAAAATAAAGAAAATTAACAAGGTTTCGGAAATACCCTTGTATAAAATTGTACACAAAGTCCTTGATGCTGGGGTTACTCTAAAATGCTAACTACTGGCAACTGCACAGACTGGGAAAATGATGGCAAAATAGAAACATTACTTTCTCAGTCACTGGAGAATAGACTTTAAAGGTAAGAGGAGTTCCTCTCTTCCTTGAAAAAGAATGGCAAAATAAAATACTTCAGTCTTGACTGTGCCTTCTAAGAGAGAATAGGTCCTGTGTCCCTACCAGTTCCAGGCCTTCTTGGGAAGTAATAAAACAGGAATAGCTTCCTTCTTTAAATCAGCTTTAAATTTTCTACTTTTAAATAGTTTCTGCTTTAAATCTCTCTGCTGCTGCACTGGCTTCATCTTCTGCTACAGAAATTGGTCAATACCAGTAGCTGCTGCCTCCTAAGTAGTTATCACAGGTGAAGCTGCATGGCCACTTGCACCCAGCATTCAGGGATACAGAATATACAAGCAGCATCCTCTGAGAGAAGCAGAATGGTGCCTTGTTGCAACAATCCATTAGTCTTATCTCTGGGGACTAGGAATAATCTACAGATTTGGCCAAATTTGTAACAAGTAATCTGAGGGAAGAAACCTTGGCTCAAACTGTAGGTCTCTGTACAGGAAGTGGTGAATAGGTTCGTCAGAAAGAATGGGTGATTACTTCATCATGTAACAATTCCAACTCAACCTTGCCAATGGGCAGTTAGTAAAGCATAGCTGATGAAACATAGCCCATAGGATTTTGGAATGACCTGAGGAATCTACTGTGTGATAAGATGAGAAAGAGAGAGATTAAAGAGATGCAAAAGAGAGATACAATATCTAATCATTTTATGACATTTTTAGAGCCTGTTTCCCTCCCCATAATCTGGTGTGATAGTTTCTACCTCTTTACAGTAGGCAAACTGTATAGATTTTTATAGATGAAAATAGAAGAGCAGGCAAGAGCAGTGAGACAGATTCTCCAAGTACCACTGATTGAAATCTCCCCAGGATGTTCCCTCTGAATGTGGGCAATCCCTAACAAGGCCAACAACAGATCCTCTGAGCACATCGACCTTGTGGTAATGTCATTCAGGAGTTTGCCTCTTGTCTGAAATGGAATAGTCAGGAGAAACTATGTCTACTACCAATCTTTCGTATCACAGATGGTTTGAGACAGATCCCTGTGCTGTTTTGTTGGGGAAATGGTCAAACATTCTACAAATTAAATCATCTGCTTCCCATCCCAGATCTGCTCTTAAGAGAACAGGGACAAAAGATACTATATGTGATGTCTTTTTGGAGGAGATCCCATTTGGCCTATTTTCACATATTTTTCACTGGTTTTCCCTGTAAGAAGTAGACATAACCCACCAAGACAGAGGCTGTTTCATTACCCGGACATGTATGAATGAAACAGAAGTAACACAGTATCATTTTGTGACCATGTACTACTTGCCTGGGCATTAGGTCCAAAATATACCTTTTATCCTCCAAACCTCTACTGAGTTTGAAAAAAGACTGAAATGTGAATCCTAGCCCTGAATCTATATTCAACAAAAGTAGAGATGAGCTCTGGTAATCAGGTGAATTATCTTACAGTAGAATTTAAGCAACCCACTGTGATACTGTAAATAAATAAATGTTGAGAACCAGTTTGATCTAGTGGTTGAAACTCGAGGCTAGAAACCAGGAGAGTGAGTTCTAGTGAGTTCTAGCCATGAAAGCTGGCTGGGTGACTTTGGGCCAGTCACTTTTTCTTAGCCCACAACGTCAGGCTCGGGCGACAAGCTGGTCGGTCAATTCCTGTTGCAACCAATGGATCAACATTCGGTTGATCCAAAAAAAGCAGACTCTGCATCTGTGGAAAAAACGCTGGGAAGGAAAAAAAAGTGTGATACAGTAAATACACATGCCAGAGGAAAGAAGTACTGAAATCCTATTGTACCAATAAGGAAGCATTTATGAGACACAGCCCAAGGCCACTCTTATAAAACTTTGCCCTGTCAGTGAAAGAAGAAATGTAGGAGTACTATTACACTCTGTGATGCAAAAACTGTAACCAAGAAGTATAATTTTAATAGATAATATTCAAATTTGCTTTGGCTTTTTTGCATGGAATTACATTTCAGTTCTAAAAGCAATGACTTTAAGGTCCTTTCCCCACTATTGAGTTAAAAGTGCTACCCATACAACTTTGAGTAGGAATAAAACCATGCCAGCATGAAATAACTTTCCCAACTGCCACTCCCTTTTCTGCCTGTTTTGCATCTGTACAAAATCACTTCTGAATGTTGTCCTGTGTTTCAAATGTGCCACTCATTACAGGCAAAGAAGTCAATGTCTCTCATTTTGCTGCTATTTCTTATCAGCATGTCACAAGCCGGGGGGGAGGGGGAACATCCATCTAACAGGCACTATAGCAGGAATACAGTAGGTCTCACTTCTGAAATCAGTGTGGGCCTCTTAAGAGTGGTTTGTTTTCTCTTCTGCACTCTGTTTGGGCATCTTCCAAGTTAAAATAATGTCAGAAAAAGAAACATTTGGGAAAAAATGCCAGGATAGAAATATCTCCAGAAAGGAAAGTGGCAGACCATCCCATAATTTTGAAACTAGCCAGGCTCTGCAGAATTGGAGAACTGAGTTAAAACTGATCAGCTGCTGGGCAACTACCTCTGTTCATGGTTATGGCAGAGGGCAGTGATTGAAATTAATAAATGCAGAGAAGTTTGTTAGAAGCCTGGAAGGAAGTTGATGTCAAAAATAGGAAATATGGTGATGTGCAGAGATGACCGGTATGAAGAAAACTCCAGGGGTGGAGTGCTGATAGACCAAAAGCTGGAAGAGAAAAGGCTGAAATGGATGCTAGCTAGTAACCAGAGAAGAGGAGATGTTCCAACATCACACAACAAAAACAATTCTCTGATCAAACTGTCTATTGGTCACCTGACTTTGCCTCCAAGATAATAGATGGTGAAGTGTTAATATCAATAATTAAATCTATCTGTATACACACACATATAAATATATTTACATATCTTGATTCTGTCCTTGGACAATGTTGAAATAAGGGAGAAAGTACTACTTTTATACTAATTCAGCTAACTGTAACTTAATACTATACTTGTCTCTCTCACAGGCTGGTGATGAAACAAAGGCAATATCATGGCGAAATTGTAAAAATTGGTTTTGTCAATTTTGTCAACAAGTGTGCCCAGTTATGTTGCAAGTGGGAATAGGTTCTAAATTCCTGTAAGCTGTTATACCCGTATTTGTCATCTTGATAGGATTCTTTTTTTTAAAGACAACTGACGCATAGCTTCTTGCACCATTCGCACCACTGTCAGTCAAATCTACATTGATGTTGTCCCACTTAGATAATTAGGAATTAATTACTTCTGAAGATGTCTGAAATTTATGCTTGCATGTGACTTACATATGCAATTTCTACTTAAGCTTTAGAACAGTTAACGCAAAAAGTTTGAAATGTAGTTTTCAATGCATTGGGATTATGTTTGATTATAGAAAACTTTGTGAGTTTTTTGTTATACTAGAATTGCCTTTAATTTTTCATGTGTCTAAAACATCAATAAATACTGTCAGTTATTCTGAAGATCTTTGTTCTTTACCCTTAGAATAAAAACACAGAAGTATCTTTTGACCTAAGGTTGTATTGCAAAGAGAATGCAGTTGGAAGGCTGTGCAGTATTTGGATATAAATCTTAAAAGGTGTGTTGTTTTCAATTGGACATCTTTTAAAAAGCAGTTATGTAGTTGTGTTTCTATAGCTGTTCAAACATGCAGAATCTCAAGTAGTTTGTCAGTTAAAAATGTAGTAAACGGAAAGTCCACATGTTTAACAACTAAGTTTTATGCATGTTTCTTCAAGCATATTCATCTCAGTACTACATGCTCTAAGGTGTGTGTGTGTGTGTAGAATTTCCAATGCTCTTCAGAATTGTTAAGGCATTCAGGAGCACTCTCAGATTTTAACTGTATTTATAAATAAGCAAAGCACTCTGATATTGTGGTGTTTGCTATAACCTCATTGCATGCACATTTTTCTACTGAGAATTCTTGCTGAATTGAGGCTATTAGTCTCAAACATGCTTACCAAAATGTAAATTCCATTGAATTTGGTGGGATTTACTTCGTACAAACATGCATTGGATTGGATTGTAGGAATTTAGTTTGAAGGCAAAGAGGTGAGAGGAGTTGTAATTCATTTGAAGCTATTAGGTTTTAACAGGAACAAATTCTCTCTTGCTACACAGGAATCTAAACTTCTTGTGCCTCATATTCTGTGGATCATTAGGAGAAATATATACAAAACAAGATACTAATTGGTAAGTGGCCTTCATAAACCCTTATAGAGATAATTGTGGTTACACTTTTTTTCTTTCAGAAGAGTATCTGGCACACCTAGCTCTGTCATTAAAACAGAATACTCTTGCATATGCAAGTCTTTGTTTGGCAGTTATAAATCATAATGAAAAGAAAGTTACATGCCTAGCTAGTCAATTAGGCTTGAGCATGCTTGAGTTAGTAAAGTGAATAATAGCTAAAAATCTGTATTGGAAAAATACAGAATGTGGCTTGAGCAGAATGTTTAGGTACTCAGCTTTTCTGTGTGTCTTATTAGAATATTGGATGCTGATCACATGGTTCTTGTATAGAATATAAGTGTATGATACAGTTTTGTTCAAAATGTGGAACAAATTCAGCCAAATTTAAGCCTATATTCAACTGTTGTCAATGGAGATTTAGATATTTGAGTATTGCTTCTTTTTCATATGTTGTCTTCTCTTTGCTGGTTTCTAAATATCTGACAATTTTGTTTTGTGCTAATTCATGGATTGTAATGGACCAAGCCTGGGCTGGGGAATGAGTGCAGTTGTTCTGAGGTCATACAATGAAAGGTCCCAATCCAAAGTGTGGTTGAATATTGTAAATGATCACATAGCTTTCATTTAAGGTAGTAAAGATTTAAATATAGTATTGTGTGGTTAGAATATAATCTGAAGTTGTTATGATTTGTTTTATTTTAATTTATTAGTCATTTGATTTAAATGGACAGGGGAAAAATAGTGGAATAAAAGTTTGTATTGAGATTGGATGCTGCGAAAAGAAAGAGGACTGACATGAAGATTCCACCCCCAGGTAGGTCTCACAAGAGTCTTAGAAGCCCTCAGTGTAATCATGACCCAGCTAGGTGACAACCCCATAGCTGACCTTGGGTTAGATCTGGTTATTACTTGGATGAGATATCACCACGAAATTCCAGGACTCTAGGGTAGGCTCTAAAGTTGGAAAAACATCCTGGAAGAAGGCAGTGGCAAGTCACTTCTATCCTGTTGCCAATAAAATTGCATGGACATATCCATGAAGTCATCAAAATTGAGCTTTATTCAAAGGAGACTTTATTTTACATGCTACTCTGTTCACTTTGCATGTGAGAAAAGAAGGTTTAAAGAGTCAGTTCATGGTTTGTTCTGTAAGTTTCCATTTTGTTTGCCAGAATATGAAATTAAGATCTCATTAATTACTGTAGATTTTAAATATGTTGATGAAGGTTCTCAGTCATCCAGGTGGAATTATCTGGAGGCTGAGTCATGGCAACTGGACTTCTTTTCTTTTAGTTTGATATGTTTCACTGCTTGTCCAAGCAGCTTCTTCAGTCTAAAAAGTTGGTTTCGGGGGGGGGACCCCATAAAAGTCTTCCAGGGTGGCTGAGTTTCTCACTGACATGATGGGCTTGTTGAAGGGACAATAGGAGATGAGATTAGTAGAGTCTTTGTGTATGTGGATGTCTTACTCCTAATCCCTTGCTCATCCCCAAGTGGGTCGTTAAGTGCTGCCTCCCTGGTGAACTTGTGAAGTGGTCTTAATCTTCCTAGAGACTGATGAAAGAGCAACATGAAAAATGGGAGACAAGTTGTGTCTGAGGCCTCCACCTCTGTTGAGGGAAGGATTTTCCACTTTGGCATAAATGGATTCCTTCTCTCTCAAACCACCTATTTTCTCTGTCCAAAATGTGAACATTATTATTACTAATCACATCTCCTATTGTCCCTTCAACAAGCCCATCATGTTAGTGAGAAACGCAGCCACCCTGGAAGACTTTTATGGGGTCCCCCCAACCAACTTTTTAGACTGAAGAAGCTGCTTGGGCAAGCAGCGAAACGTATCAAACCAAAAGAAAAGAAGTCCAGTTGCCATGACTCAACCTCCAGATTGTAGATTTTAAACCAACCTTAGTTTATACAACCTAGTTGTCCAAGTTAACTGTGGTCTAAAATTAACAGCAGCGAAACGTATCAAACCAAAAGAAAAGAAGTCCAGTTGCCATGACTCAACCTCCAGATTGTAGATTTTAAACCAACCTTAGTTTATACAACCTAGTTGTCCAAGTTAACTGTGGTCTAAAATTAACGAGAAATGGAAATATTAAAATAATGTTTCTTTATGCATTAATAGCAATAAATTATGATGTGTTTACATCTGTAAGCAACTATGAAAATACTGTATTCAAATTAAGTGAAATTACAGAAAGCTGCAGCACAATTGGGGATTTTGTTTCTTTTTTAAAATGTTGAAAAACATGTTAAGAGCAATCAATTAAGAATGTGTTTTTAAATAGATATATATAATAATATGCCTGTAAAAGAAGAGGAATTGCTTTTAATTATTTTACAGTAGAGAATAGTACAATGTTGGTGGAAATGAATATTGGAATAAGATTCTAGCTTTGGGTTTTTTTAAGATTAATTACAGACTGAAAAGAGAGGATTCTTTTAAAACAGGAATACAAGAAATAGTTCATCATTTGAGACATTGTGGGGGAGAGCCTTGTTAGTCTGTATTGACAAAAAATCAGGAGTCTGGTAACACCTTTTCTGACTAACCAATTTTTATTTAAAGGCATATGCTTTCATGAACCACAGCTCACTTCATCAGATGCATAGTATGGCTAGACTGATGTACGATTTAAATTGAGATGGTAGGGAGGGGAAGACAAGTTGGTTATACATCCACAAGTTACATGGGAGACAGATTACAAGTACCTTATCAACTAACAATTGTAATATGTTAAAATTGGAGATTCCAATTAAGATTAGAAATGTATTTTTGGAAGTATTGAGAAAATATAGGATACTATTTTATTTGGCCTGTTGACCTAATTAAACAGTCTGTGTTCGTAGCTTAATGCCAGCAATAAGGTCTGTATGGTTTCTCTAGCATTATTACACCCTGCCTCTCAATAAAAAGTTTTTAATAACAATAAAAATGAGTTTTGACATCATTACATTGGTTAATGTTTGCTATTCCCTTGCCAGCTCTGAAAGTGCTGAAAACTACCATGTGATAGGCATAATGTGTATTTTTACTGTGTGGATAATGATTAAATAATTTCTTTCATAATCAAAATGATTTAGGGAACTGCAGACATGTCAGAAGATATTTGCAGTGACTTATATCTGTGTGAGGCTTCTATCCTCATGGCTGACTGAAATAGTATTTTTTCTGTGGCATAGGACGAACTTTATTTGTGCCAAAGTTTGTTTAGAAGTTATGTATTATCCTGCATAGTGGGCATTGCAAATAATGTTAGGTAACAGGTGTTTTTAAAAGATAGAGTTAGCCATTGTAATGCACTGGCTCCTCAAAATGACTGTGAAAATCACCAGAAGATTTTAGGGACTTACACTGAATGAAAGTAGTTACCAAACAGACAAACAAATAAATCTTTTGGGGGAGACCATGACTACAAAATGATGTTTATACAGTGTTAATTAGAAAATTATGAATGTGTGTTTATAGGGCAAATTTTAGAGAAAGCCTCCAAATAATAAAGCTATTGGAATGCATAAAACTGGGTCAGGTACTGATAGAGCTGTGCAGCAATCTGATTTTGAAGGAAAAAAGTGTTTACCACATGTGCAGTTGCATCTGGACCACCTCTTGTCCCTTTCCCTAAATCAAATATGCTTTTCCTTGCCTTCCATGCAAATCTGGGAGAAGACACAACTTCTTTAAAGGTTTTAAGGTTTTAGTTCCCATCTTGTTGGGAGCTTGATTATTAAATAGGCTGGCTAATGCTAATGGGAGTTGGAAATCCAACATCCAACAGATATTTCATCTTGATTTATTTACTTAAAGTATTTTCTCTCCCTCTTTGGTTCCCTCATAAGAATCATCATGGGGATCAACAGTCTACCCTGAATGGCTATAGGAATGCATTTGATTGACACCAAGTGTCCTACAGTTCCCTCAGGGGAAAATAGAAGTAGCTTGTCAGGTCACCTAAGAATCTAATATGTTTTTGTCTTTTCTGATTTTCATCCTGTACAGTCTTCTGACAGACATAATTTTCTTTCTAATTGTCATAGAGATGCATTGGAATACATACAAGTATTATATAGTTGACAGCAGGGAATACTTTATGAATATACATATTATGTGCTTTACTACTATTAATTTCATGTTCTTAAAGCATTCCCTTTTCACTGAACTGTAGCAACAATTTGGGATATGATGGGATGCTCCATAACTGATAAAGGATGTACCTGTGAGCCCCAGTGTAAAAATTATGTCATGTGTTTTTTATCCAACCCATCATTTTCTTAGTAGTTTCATATATCAGTAATTTCAGAATGGTCACAAGTAGGTAGTTTGATTAAATTTATTTATTTTTCTTGGCTTACATACTGGATTCCATGTGTCTGAGTAAAACTAGCTGAGATAATGAACTATTAAGAAATCATAAACACAGAGTTGCTTATCATAATGATTTTTCTTACAGGACCAAAACATAATTTTTGACTCTTCAAAATGAATCAGTGCTTTGATATGGTCAATTGGTGACCTTTTTATTATACGCCATCATAGCAGCACTGATGGATACAGTACTCAAAGTAGTGTAGTGAATGCTCAGACCATCAGAACCTAACTGATAAATACAACAGGATCAGAATATAATTAATAAATGCCACAAAAAGCTTACACTTTTTGGTATTTGTGAGATACACCTAAGTCAATCCTTACTTTTCCTGTAAACAGGTTATATCAATATACAGTGTTTTCAATTTCAATATGCAGTTTTCTTGAGGAAAACCCCTCAAAGCATATGAATTATTTCTGAATCTGCATGGTTCATAATTAACTGAATTAGATACAGTGATGGCTTTTTGTTGGATCATCTCCTTTGCTTAATTTCTGCTGCAACATACATGGCAATAGCTATTTATATCTAATGTTATTCTTGAGCTCTCCTGATTCAAGCACTCTGAATTTTCAAATATCAGCTGTCGTAGTTACAGATAAAAGGTATGTGCCAGGTAGTACAGAAAAAAGTGCAGTGGAGGAGAAACCTGTACATTCACAGGAAAGTATTTTCTTAGTTCCATAATAATAGAATTACACACACCTTCTCTCTCTCTCTCTCTCTCAAATATTAATTGAGAATGCATGGAGACAAAAAAATAGAAGCATATACATTTTCTTGGGTGATTAAAGTGTTCATTCATTCAGTTTAATAAGACTGGGAGAAAGAGATACATCCTTGCAGATTTTCTAAAAGTGGAGAGAGTGGAAGCCAAACTCAGCTCTCAAGGGAAGGCTCTCTCCTCCATATCAGATACGTGAGTCTCTGATAGAGAGAGCATCCGGTCTCTCTTTCAGATCTGAGCCAGGCACATTTATAACAGGAAAGACACACACTCTGAGAATGGTATCCAAAGTCATTTAAAGTTCTAAAAGTTAATCCCTTCATCTTAAATTGTACCTGATAAATAGTTGGCAACCAGCAAGATTTACAGTAAGGCACTGTATGAGTCTTGTACCTAGCATTGGTTAATAACCTAGCTGCTGCATTTTGCACCAATTATAATTTCTAGACATTTTTCAAGAGTAGTCCCACATAAAGGTCATTACAGTAGTCAAGATGGGATGTAACCTACCATATAACTCACCAAATCTGATTGTTTAGGAGCAATCATAGCTGCTTTAGTAGTCATAATTGTTCACACCCAATTACATTCCTTGCAATCCAATGGCAGCTAAAGATCAAGAAGTACTTCTAGACTTTAGCCCTACTGTTTCAGTACAAGAACCACCCTATCCAAAGGAGTCTGAAACTCCATTCCCAAGAGTAGTTTATTTCTGCTAACAGCACCTCCATCTTACTTGCATTTAATTCTAGCTTGGTCTCCCTTGTCCAGCTCATTATCAAAGTTAGGTATCATTCCTTGGAATTGGATAATAAGCAGTAGAAATAACTCTCCTCAGCATACTGGTAGTGCCCTACCCCAAATCTCCAGATGAGCTTTCCCAGTAGTTTTATATGGATATTGAGCACCATGGAACACAAGGCAGAGCCCTGAGGGACACCAGAAGACTATATATAGGTTTTGAAAAATAATTCTTTGCTCTATGTTCTGGACCTAATCTGACAACAAAGATGAAAATCATTGCAAAACAGTCCTTCCCAAACCCAATCCTACCAGATGATTTAGAAGGATATAGTAAAAGTAATTTCATTCTATGAAATATGAAGCCAGAATGTTGTTTAGAATTTAAATACATTTATTTACTAATAGTTTAAGGTTACCTGTTGCTTTCAACTTCCTGCCTGTCTGACCAGATCACTAAATGAGCCTCCAGTGATACTAATGACATGCAGTAACCAAAGCTAATAGCACCTATAGGTTTAGTATTAGCTAGCCTCTCAACTAGCTTTTCCCAGGGTGCAAATTCTTAGATTTGGAATCAGAATGAATTTGAGAGGCACTAGGTTAGAGAAGATTGTCATGGATTATTTGCTGCCCTGCTTTTAGATTTTTTGAAGAAGTAGGGATTAACAAGGTCTTTATCTCTTTTTGGAGGGAAGTATTAAATAACAAGAGAGAGAGAGAGCTTGTCAACTTTTTTGGAATCTCATAGTACATTCCATTGTTGCTGACAGACTTGAGTGCTAAGTATATTCTTGAAAAAATATTAAGCCTAGTTCAAAGCCTTTAGTAAGGTTTAAAGACCTGGCTGTTCCTCCAGACGTTTGGGCCAGGAGGTTGAGCAAGCTCTGTTGGTTGATTGATTTGTAGTGTTCTTTTCTGTAATTGGAATGATTTCTGAGATCTCAGACACTTGTTATTTGGTTTGCTGATTTTTCTTGTTGGTTTTAATCCTTGTATACCATGCAAAGTCATTTCCATGAGATGGGTGACTATATAAATTGAATGAATGAGGAATGAATGAAATTGGAACTCTTGATAACATGCATTGCATAATTTGACTTCATCAAGTTCCTGAAGGTACTTTAGGTGCTAAACAGTTCCATTCTGCTCTCTTTAAACTGAAATATAATACTTAGAACTTTATTTAGATTCAAAAAGGAGCTGATGCTCTACCATTTGGAGGAGGTCTATAGGTGTACAAGGTAATATCAGCCACAGTTTGATTTGCTACAGCTATTTGTTCTAGAAAATCAGTCAGTTATTGTAAGTGCAACTTAATTGGTAATATTGTTTAGAAGAACCATATCTTCAATAAACATAGGTAAGGTAATCTTGAAAATACAGGAAAATGTTTGCAGCCCTGCCCAAAATACTAAGGCTGTTACTTCTCAGTTTAAAAGTCTATGTTATCAGTGGTAGGTAGTTGGTGGGGGAGGGGCTTTTCACTTCTTTACCTGTGATTGGTCTATGTGCTACATGGTCATAAGGGTTTTATGAGCTAGAATAATACCACATTTCTATATATAGTATAAAGTAATCTTGATGAATCTGAACAATATTGCAGTGAGTATCAGTATTAATTGCTGGTTAGGGCCCAGCTGAGTATGGGTTTCATTTTTTAATACTTATGTGTTGACACTTCAAAATATGCAGAACAGGTTTCCATATGCTCCACAAAGTATCATAGTGTTTTAAACAACATTGTGTCTTCATGAGCATTTTAACATAAACCATTCTGCTTCCAATATCTTGTCCACTGTTGGGTAGACTATTTTTAGATTCAAGGTCTACTTCCATAGTGCAATGAATTGCTGCTGCAAGGCTGCCAGTATTAAAGGAAATCCACATCTTCTGCTACATCTCGTAAAAGATCAGCGTGGGTCAACGTAAGCTTTTTAAATAATTAAGGAGTGAAGGGGTGAGGCAGAACAGTAGGCTGAGAGGCAGTTTTCCAGAAGAGTTTTCAAATGCTTTCCTGAGATTTTACAAAAAGAAGGACGTTGTATTCAAAAATTGCTAACATGAGTTGGAATGTACTTTCATGCACCCATAATTTCTTTTTTCCTATGTTTGTAGCTGCTGTAATACTTTGCCAACAGCCTATTGACTTTTCTTAAGGAGTAGTTAACTAGTGGCTATTAATACTGTTAATTGAACATAACAGTCAATGGTTGCTGAGTTATGAATTTTATTTATCTTTAAACAATCTAGAATCCCAGTAATGTCCAGAAGCCCACACTCTTGATTCTCTTCTTTATCTTACTATGAGTTTGAAAGTTTGATAAATAAATGTGAGTTAGTGAACTTTCTTCTATGTAATCCTGAATGTGGGAGTGCTGTGTGTCTATCCTAGATGAGGTCATGCATATTAGTATGCTGCAGCTACTTTTTTGAGTATCCAATATTGAATATACAAAACCGATTCTAGCTGTAAGGTGATACCATTGGTAAGGTCATTATTTCAAGCCCAGTTCATTATAAATAGGACGAAGGTGGGATTGGGAGTACTTATGGTAGTTAAGATGCTGAGAAGAATTCAGTTGAGAGCCTAGATACTTGATGAAAATTATGAAACAACTAGTTCCATTTAGGGCTGAAACAGAAACAAACTCCCAAGATTTCCTTCATACTAGCACGTTTTTTTTTATAAATCTGCTTTTATATGTGCCGAACACAAAAATAAATTGAAGAAGTAACATTCTAAACCCTGCAATGTAATTTTTTTACCCACAGATATTGGGAGAAGTGCATACTCTCATCTCTGCTTGCAAGAAAGTGACATTCTGTACCCTTCTAAAGGACAATACATCAAGGCTGACTGTGCAGCTAAATTGAACAGCAGTCGTACCATGGGATGTATAAAATCCAAAAGCCCCTTCCCACATACAATTCTAGACGATGGAAGCAGGGAAGTCGGCAAATACGATAGTGGATGTAACCTAGAAAAATCTTCCCTTATTCAGGCAAACTCTGGGATGTCATCTTCAACAAACACTGCAGTGCTGGACTTTGCTCACCGTCTTTCCCTTGAGATTCTGGATCAAGCTGTGAAGCAATGGGCAATGAATGAAAGCAAATACAGTGACATCCCGTTCATAGAAAGCGATGAGCCATGAATTGCAGGGCTTGGCTTCCCAACATGCCTGTGAGGCATCTCATGTTTTGGTGCTAGCACAAATAAAGCAACATTCATATGATAGCAGTTGTGATTTTAAAAGTCATCATACACACAGCTAATCTTGACTGAGGTAAAATCTTGCCTTTAGTTGTAATAGAACCACAATAACATCAAATGGTTCTAGGGGTAGTGAGTAATTCAGTATTCCGGTAAGTCCCATTTCAATATCTACAGGAGCATAACAATGGACCCGAGCAAAATATAGGTACCCTTAAAAAACAAAAGCAACCCTTCCCCAACCAAATAGGCATGGGGAAGGGGGAGGAAGGAATGTTTGGACCAGGGTTTCAGAATAAGGTTTTAGCTATATAATTACTATTGAGCTAAAATATCCTGAAAAAAAGGAGAAATATTGGTGCTTAATTTTACTTTTGACATAAAGGGGATTTAGTTACTTAGCATGAGTCTCAACCATACCAGGGCTCTATATCACTATCAAAGCTTTCTTTCCAAAGGCATTTCTGACAATCTTGTTGAAGTGAGACTAGTTATTTTACAATTTTACTCAGTTGAGCATACTAAATTCAGGCCAAGACGTGCACATGCAGTTTATACAATAGAACATACAAAAAAACATACATGTTTAATAGTTGGAAGAAAAAAAATCATTTAAATTACAATGACTTTGCAAGTTATTACATATTACTAGCAAAGTAATCAATATGAAAGTGTAAGAAAGAACACTGTTTAGCTTAGCATCAAGGGAAATTGGGAAGAGCAGCCCAAATTTTAAGGTGCTATTATCAGTAGGAAGAGTAGGCAGAGTATAAGGCAAAAGTGCAATACAGAATGAGAGTAGTAACTTGTGTATATGGAGAAAGGTGACTACTGAAAATGTGGGAGTGTGTTCATAATATATTAATATTAAATTCCAAGAAAGCACAACCATCATGCTCTTAGCTATTCAGGCAACATAATTAACTCTTAAAAAGGAGATTATAATAGCATGAACTGCTTAAACTAAGCTGTATTTTAATTTCTCTAAATAAATACAACACCATTTCTAGAGTATATTTTCAGTACAGAATCAAAAGAAGGAGCAAGCCAGTATTATCCCCAGGAGAGGGCTATCATTTTGTTTTGGTATATCTCATTATTGCAAAAAAAAGTAAGCCCTAATAGATGGAAATTATCTATTTCAGATGCTCTATAGTGTAGTTCCCTTTGGAGCAGAATGTTTCATAGCAGTTCTTTCTTCAGTAATATTTGACAAGCACATGCCAAATTGGAAATTGTTCTGGCAAGTAACAGAAAGTAATTTGACTTCTCCAGAGCCAGAACTCCCTCATTCCTAATAAATATACATATGCATATATTCTACATAGTATCGTTTCATTAGTGGACACGGCCCAAATACAATTGTACATTGAATGTCAGGCTGACTCAGTATTAGATTTTGTCAAAGCTGTACTATAGTGTTACATAAATGTATTATCACAAGTGGTCTGATTATGATTATGCCATAAAGTTGTTGTCGGCTCTTAGCAACTACATAGATAGATTTTATCCATGGTGATCTGTCCCTACAGGAATTAACAAGATACTTAAAAAAAAAAAAGAGTTAACAACTGGGCAAATAATAATGATATTAACTGAGCGATTGTACATGATACAGCCAGGGCCTGCCCAGTAATCTCCTCATTTCCCTCTTCCTGCTCTTGAAGAGGTAAGAGCCAGCAGTTTCCACAGGATCTCCAAGATTGGATCTCTTTCCATAGGCTTAGTAGGTTAAATCCAATCTGTCCCTTATTCCTTCAACAACAGTAGCTATATTTTAAATCACTGTTTGCAGTATGACTGTCATTTAGGTAACAGTTTAAGGAAGGAAGTTCCACCCCTAAACTACCATGTAGTTGTTTCTAGCATATGCATTCTTCCTTCTCATCAGCTAATTGCTTGCAGATGTGTTTGAATAAAGAAAAAAACCTTATACCTTTACACCTTTATCTGGAACTCAGATATGCATGAGAGCCCTAAAAAGCTTGGGCTCTTAAATATTCATATAAGAATTACCAATCTGTGAAGTAAAATTGGCATGTTTAGACATACCAAGTCCATTCAAGTATGAAGATTGTGAGATTTTCTTTTGTTTTAGATATGAATGTTGACTCTGACACCTGCCAGAAGACCTTTACATTTCAGTCTCAAAACTGGCTGCAAATGTGTAGAAATTTGCTTCCAAACAGAATGGCTCCTTGGCAAAACCTTTTAAAACTTAAGAACCAATCAAATGTAGTACATCTACTAAAAGTTCTCAGAGTGCCATTTCACCCATGCTGTGAAATATGTGAATGGTTTGGGTGAAATGAGGAATGTCCATGGTTCTGCTTTCAGATGTTTGAAGAAAAAGTACAACACAATGCTTGGACTAACCCTTATCTGTCATTTCCTAGTGCTTAAGCCAAAAAGGACATTTTTTCTTTGAAGCTGGGAAATGGCTGAAAAAGCCAAGGCAAAGCAAGTTATGCTAACAAGATAATTATCTCTTTAGTGGACCATTTCATTTTTTTTTTTTTTTTACCTCCAGAAGAAAGGAAAAAATAGAGTCCTGCTTTCTCTAGTCCAGCACATGAAGAAATGGACAAGTGTGGTGAATATCCCAGCAAGCAATAGAAACATTCACAGCAATCCTTGCATGAGGATTACACATTTATGAATTTCCCCCCTACTCACTGAGCTAGGACGAATTCCCTTCTATTTCTTAAAATCTTGATTTGAAAGGCTGCAGGTAATTGTTACTGCTCTGTGGTGTTCTGTTGTGTCATTGTACCTTGTTACTTCTTCATGGTTACTGAACACATTTCAAAGATTTCCCAGTTCCATTTGTTTTTTCAGAAAAATCTAAATTCTAACATTATTACATCATCTATTGCCATGGAAACTTGCAAAGAATGGTGATATGACCTATCTATTCATGAAAAGCATATTAAGGAAGCCAGAACAGAGATTTATACACAGTTGTGATATATACATTTTTACTGACTAATCACTAGTTATCTAAAAACAATAGAACATGATCACATGAAAGAATCAGAACGGAAGAATATTAAAACACTAATAAAATGTAATTCTTGAATAGGATTGTGCAGTGAAATAATATGGGCCTGTCTGGTCTATGTGCATATACCCACAATTTGTGTCTGTGTATTACAGCCCTCCATCTCTAGGGATTATTTGCATAATAGTGGGACAGTATTGCTCTACCTACAATATATTTGCAAAGCCTCATCTATCATCGATCGATGACTCTTGGTTCCCAAAATGTGCACTGTTTAGTCATAAGCATGAGACCACTTGTCTACCCTGATCCATATAGTTTGGGTGAATTATTTTTTGCTGTAGCTGTATTTTATATTACAGATATTTAGAACAAAACCACTTTCTACTTGAATAGCCATCATCCTGGTTACAGTTCTTTATCTTTCTAGGATTTCCTTCTAGATAAGAATCCTAGATTATCTAGACCTGTTTATTTGGATTTCAGGCTGGGATTCAATACGGAGATAGCCCTGGTCACACTTGTAGATGACCTGTGGCAGAACCAGGATGGTAGTGTTAAATTCCCAAAGTTTAACAATCGGTTCTTGCAAGCTGATATGAGCAACTGGGAGGAACCGTCTCCAACTCAATTCTAGCAAGACCAAGTGCAACCTAGATCTGGGGATATTCCATCTTTAACTTTGGACAGATAGGGTGGCACTTCCCAATTCAAGCATGATGTACAATCTGGGAGTCTGCACTCATAGCTCCTGCTCAATGAGCAGGTAGCAGCTGTGGCCAGGAAGGCCTTTCCACAGCTTCATCTGGTGTGCAGTTGTGTCATTTCCTAGATTGGGAAGCCCTTCAGGTGGTCATTCATGCTCTAGTCACCTGACAGCTCAATTACTGCAACATGTTCTACATGTGGGTACTCTCGAAGACCACTTGGAAGCTTAACTGGTCGGGAATCAGTGTGAACAGTGAGCGGAACAGGTTGCCAGTTTGCTTTTCAAGGTGCTGTGTATGATCTATAAAGCCCCACATGGCATAGGTCCTGGCTATTTGAGGGACTGCCTATTTCCTGTGATGTTGGCCTAGCTGGCTTGATCCAACAGGGTTGGTGCTCTCCAGGTTCCTTCAATTAAGCAGTGTTATCAAGACCCTGGAAGTATACCTTCTCTGTCACAGTGTCTGTCCTCCAGAATGAGGTTCCTCCGAGATCTGGGTGGCTCCCACTCTAATGGAGTTCTAGAGGACCTTAAAGACCTGGTTCTTTTCCCAGGGTCTGGGCTAGGATGGTTGGAGCCACTTGCCTGGTGCATATGTTTTGTTAAGGCTGACCGGATTTGTCCTCTTGTTTAATGTATTTTCTAACTTTTGATTATAATATTTGTTATTTTGTTTTCATGATGTGAGCCACCCAGAATCAATTTGGAGTTGGGTGGCATCTAAGTCAAATTAAATAAATATAAATGGGATATTTTTCAGCCATAGTAGGCTGATAGGTCTTTGAAGATAATTTTGGATGTGGAAATTCATTCAGATTTTGCCTTGTGAGACCCATAGTTTGCAACTTGTCCTCATGTTAAGTCAGAAAATGATTTTGCTCTGGCATTACATGCATTTCTTTTCTTCCATCTTATTCTAGGGAAAACTGTAGAAGTCCTGAATAAGACTAGAAGTAGAACAAACTGAAAGTATTTGGGAGGAATATATTTCCTTTAAAAAGGAGTGGGTGAGCAGTTTTGCGTGGTTTTAGGCCTATCTTTACTCTTAGATGGGCAACTGAAGGCAATGTAGCTTTTGCTTTGGTTTAGCTAGCCATATTATTATCTTTTTTTTAGAAACAACTCATCCTGCCACAGTTGCGCATAACCTTCTTACTTCTAGACATGAATATAGTATGTATTCTAATATACATACTATATCCTATAGTATGTATGTTTGATATGTACTAGCTAATCTAGTATACAAAACATAAGCTGATGCAAAATATAGTATCAAAATTTTGGATAGCTTTAGTCATGTGTCAGCATTTATCAGTCTATTAAAGCAGCATCATATGCCCCAGTTACCACATACACTTGGTCACAGATTTCAATTAGCAGGAAGAATCCTTTCATGTATTAGTTTTGTCAGTGAGGATGAAGTGGTGGAACAGATCATTTTTTATAGCTGTATCTGAACTACAGGGGGCAATTATAGAATTCTCTGAGCACCTATAGACTGCAAATAAAAACAAAGTACCATTTATCGTAAAAGAGAACTAAGATATATTGCATCAACATCACTTGTTTTGGACTGCTGCTCACTCTCCTTTGAATTAGTGCAGTTCATACTTGCCATATTTAACTGTCTATATAACATAATTATTTTAGCTGATCCAGAGTGTCTCGTTTTACATCCAGTTTTACAGAGAAATAAAAATGTACAGGTACCAAACACCTGGAGTCTAGAATTATGCTTGTCTCTGAAAAATATGTCCTCTTCAAGGCATTTCAGTCAATTCCAATTTTTTCTTTACATGATGAAATAATTTATTGGATTAAATTCACCATGCATTTTATTCTATTACATAAAACAGGCTTTGATTTTAACATTAGTAAAACACTGTTATAACTTGAGGTCATCACTTCCAAGAGATTTAAAGCACGAGTCCAAAAATTCATCTGTTATTTCTTCAAGAACAGCTGGCTTCCATTTAGGGGATTGGTCTCTGTCAATAAGTACTAGTAGAGAAAAGAAAAATGCTTACAGTTACAATGCTTTCCTTAATAATTATACCAGAAGCATCAGTTTATATTATTCTTAATGCATATCAAAGGTAAACCATTGTAGAGATCAGTACACTATGTATGATTGATGCATTCTCTATAGAAGATGGGACTAACAGTTCACTGGATTTCTTGAATGGAAAAGTACCTTAATTCCCATCTCCTGAAAACAGAATGACTGAGAATCCAACATTAAAGCACTTATTTATTTAATGTATTTTTGCAATCCACTAGAGGTGTTTTACTATTTATATTCCTAATCTGAATGGTGAATTTCTGTCAGAAAGAGTATCTGGCCAAGTAATAATAAATGATTATTTTTTAAGCCAAACACCCACTAATTATTTCATATAAAGTATATGGATTTCAAACTTCAGGATTTCTGTTTGTTTTCTTTTATTTGATAGACAATTCATGGTTGCTTCAATATTCTGATTATAATGTTGTTAATATTTGGAAAAGAAAAATACGCTATCCAACATAAAGCAGAGAAGCCAATTCTCCTATGACTATACAGCATGCAGCGCCATTACAGAGTATTGCACTCCTCTATCTTTATAATTTCTGGATAACTAAATTCCAACAATTTTATTTATGCTTTCAGACTTTACTATTCTGCAGCTATATTTGGGGTGGCACTTAAGGTCAACCAATTAATCCTAACTATTTGCATATGTGCAAACATCTCTACTGTAATAAGTTGTAGTAACATTTGGGGAGGGCATGTTTGCTAGATAACTTTCAGCATGAACAAGGCAAATACAATGAAGTCAGAATTGTACTGAACTCATAACTAACAACATTCATACTGGATTATTTCAACAACTGAGATATATGGCAGCTGCGGCTTAGTTTACTTAGTCCCATTCAGATATATCCCTTCCGGTGTGGTACCTCTGCCCCACTACTGTGGGCACAGATATAAAACAGCTTTTCCTCTCAATTCCACCCTGATTGCCAATTCAGTCTCAGTGGTGGGGCACTCTTTATACCTCCCCCACACTGCATGTCCTTACCAACAATGCCTCCATGTTTGGATTGAGAGCTCTCCTCCAAACCCTCCGCACTGGTCCTTTGTCCAGCCATAATGCACTGAGATGCTTCAGTGAACTCAAACTCCGCATACCTTGGAAGGCACTCTGAGCCATCCAAGGCTATCTCCATGGCTAGACTATGCAAGTTACACTAGCCACTTATGACAGTCTAATAATAAAGTAACACAAAATATGCCCCTGTTTTGTATCTTCTGTTACAGATTCTGCATTGGCAAACCATATGCCTGGAACAAACCACCTTGCAGACTAGCTCAGCCATAATAGAACATTGTTTTTCTTGGAATAGCCCAGTTTTATATATTGCTACCTACCTTGCTACTCAGAATTCTGGGAAAGACCAATAGGAATTTGACCAGCTGCATTCTCAGCATATCTTAGTGGACTTAGCAGCCATTGTTTGCCCTGCCTTGCCCATTGCACACCTTCTAGATGAACCAAACCTCCTCTGTATACATCAGGGACAAGTCTTTCATCCAGACCCTGATTCCCTCCACCTTACATATTCAGAGGATTTATTCAGAGGATCTGAGGGTAGAGCAGGTTATATTGAAAAGGATTTTCCACAAGCACTTTCCACTTGCAGAATTAGCTTAACCCCATAATGCTTTGGCCTTTCTCTTGCATTTAAAATAGAAATGTTTGGCTTATTCTTTGATCAGAGCACACCTTATGGCCATCTCATTTTTTTTTCTTTTACGGGGTAGTACTTTGTTTTTATACTTGCTAGTGAAGCATCTCATGATAGGCTAGTACATCTCTTTCCTTCAGTGTCTCTGGCACTTTTAGTCTGGAGTATTTCACCTGTTCTAGACTGTCAAACCCTTTAAGCTCATTGCCAATGCCCCAATTCCCCTCATCTCATGGAAGATAGATGTCCTGGTGACCATGATATTTATTCATTGAACTGAAACCTGTGTACATGACAAAGGCATCCTTCCTTGTTTCGTTCTTCCACTTGAATCACGACCTCATATTGGTTCAGCCCTCTGCTATCATTTAGGACCATAGACTGGACCTCCCTTCCCACAGAAATGCAATCTTTGGAACAGTCATCATTTCTTCTCACTTTATGACAACCAGACCTTATTTAATTATATTAGCAACCTTATTTAATAATATTAGCTTCCAGATAACAAGACTACTATTCACCTATGTATATGAATACCAAGACTACAATGAATAACTAATTATTCACCTGCAAGTGTAGGTTTTTGAGTAGTCATCCATGAATTCTCACACACCATCTACCCCACTTTGTCTCAGGTTACTTCATTGTTCCTTCTGATCCACTATATCCAGCCTTAGATACTGAAAGGATTTGTGGGAACTGCACTAATTATCTATTGTGTATAAACAATGCTATAAACTCTAGAACAGTGTTTACCAACTTCCTGATGGGTAGACTTTAACTCCCCAAATTACCCAGCCAGTAAAGCCATTGCTGAGAATTCTGGAAGGTAAAGTGCAACATCGAGAAGTTCCCACAGATGAGAAACCCTACCGTGGAAGACTGTTAATGGGGCTCTGCATAGGCATATAACCTGTATGGATTCACCTAAGATCACTCAAAGATCTGCAGTTACAGGTAACTGCAGTTCTTTGTACATAGCATACCAATATGCTGTTTTATACATGGCATACTAATATTTCTTCAGCAGTAAGACCAGAACAAAATAATCTAAACTAAAATTCAGATAGAGCTCTTCCTGTAACTCAAAAGTAGGAAGCTTGTGATCTTCCATGTGTTTTCTGGACCAAATCTGTAGCTGCAGAAAGCTTAACTGAAGGCCAGGAATAATAGGAATTGTAGTCCAAAATGTCAGAAAATTACAGATGCTCCATCTCTACAACATAATCATCTTAATTTACAGGGGGAAAATTACAAAGAAAAAAGTTTTACCATAATAAAAACTAGTTCAATATCAGCATCCATGTGTATTACATCACCCTCTCCCTCACACCCCCAAAAGTCCCACAGTCCCACAATATCAAACTTATACTAATTCAGACTGCAGGAAGGAGATTATACTTTACAACGTGCACACACACTGAATATTTACAGGAGAGGGGAAAAAATCAGTTTCCATAATCAAGGGGTTATTTTTTGTCTTTCACGCTGTGATATGTAGTTCTCTTGCCTGCATTCTGAAGTGGTTTTACATCTTCATTTAATGTTTGAGATACACTACATCACCATTCTCAAGTACTGCATGGGAGGATAAAACTTCACCGGGCAGTAATTTTAAAACAGTAAAAGAATCTTTAGTCAAGTACATTTTTGGTCAGATAGGTATAATGTAAAAAAAGTCAGACATTAACAGATGTTTATTTCAGCAAAGAGGAAGGATTAATTAAATCTGATTAATTAATTCACACTATCCCTCTGGCATCAGCAAAAATAAACTGCTTGAGGCCCTGAATAACTACTTTAATTATTTTAATAACTTAATAATTGTTTTCTACCATCACTTTTATTATTTAACATTATTAAAACTATCTCAAATAAGAAGAGGTCACCAGATAGCACATTTTGCAAATGTCTGAGAGAAATACTGTGACCTAAGACCATGCCTTAAACTGTCCCTGTGTCTTCCTATGCCACCAGTAACATGCCTGCACTAATAGTTTTCTGAAGGATCTCACTAAGCCTGGATTGTAATTTACTTGAAATGGGCACTCTGGCTTCAAATTTACCTGCTCGGACACCTTCGAAGAAGTCATGGCCTCGCTGTAAGATAAAAGAATTCATTATAGCAATCCCCTAGCACGCTTTTGAAATAACATTAAATTTCTTCCTACATTTTGTTCCCATATCACTTTTTCACAAGAAAAAAATCTAAATGCTGCTTTTGTATATCAATTTTCAATCTGGTATCATTTGTAGCTCACTTCTTTGAGATTCTGCAATGAGATCCCTATGGAGGTGTGAGATCTTGCACAGGATCAATTGGAGGGTTGTATGAATGTACAGATTTTTACTTAAAGAATCAGTTGCAGATAAGCCACTGGTTGTTTTTCACTATGGTTTCTGAGCTTCACATACAGTACATGAGTGAATAGCAAAGTACACTTACTGGTGGTGGGTAGGAAGTCAGTGGAGAACTGATGACATGTGCACCCTTTCAAATGCAGTATCTCACCTGGTCTGCATTCCAGGTGATAGTGCCAGAGGTTGAGGGCTGAGACTAGATGGCAGTATGACAGATAGCAGGAAGTGGCTATAATGGACACTGTTATCACCTCTTCACTGAATGTAGTGGAAGTTTTATTAATACGTAAACTAGATGTTATTAATACGTAAACTAGATGAGCCAGTTTGGTGTAGTGGTTCATCAGGCTAAAAACCAGGAAGTTCTAGTCCTGCCTTAGACACAAAGCCAGCCTTAGACACAAAACCACAAAGCCAGGTGACCTTGGGCCAGTCACTCTCTCAGCCCTAGGAAGGAGGCAATGGCAAACCACTTCCAAAAAACTTGCTAAGAAAACTACAGAGACCAGTCCAGACAGTTGCCAGGAGTCAAAAACTGACTTGAAGGTACAAAACAACAATAACAACTAGATGAACAGTCTCTATCACCCAATGGGAAATTATGTGCATAGAGAAAAGAGAAAATAGTTCTTTCTTTGCCTATAACAAAGAAACAGTTTTCAATCTTTTGAAAGAAGCAAGCATAGTCAATATAGAATGCTAAAGCTCTACAAACTTTCAGAGTGTATAGTGCAGTCTCAAGTGAAGTTGCTGGAGCTGGGGAAAAACAGGTAATATAATGTTTTGACTGAACTAAAAACTCAAAACTACTTTAGGAAAAAAGTACATGTGCATTCTTATCTGGATGGAACACACCCTTATGTTTATGAAAGATACAAAAAGTGGGGTCAGCCTGTAGTTTATCTGCTTTGTTGAGTTGATGTGATAACCAGAAGGAAGGACACTTTCCAACATATGGCCTATAGTTACTAATCACTCAAAAGGTTTGATCATCAATACTGACAAAACATAAGGACTCCACTGAAGTGGCAATGACAATCTAGGTTGTTTTAAACACTGAATTCCTCTTTATAAGTTCTAGGGAAGGGGTGAGAAAAGCGATATCTCCTACACAGACCCACGGAAAGCTGTAGCTGCAGGAAAATAAAGCTTTAGTAAAAGTATACCAACCCCCTGAAAAACATAAGCAAGAGAACTGTATATATGGTGAGCCCCCAAATCCTCATACAGAAGTAGAGAAAGCACACCACTCAGCTTTATATCACCATCCAATCAAAGTTTTTCTCACAGCCCACAAGACAGCAACATCAGACATCAATTGGCCAAACGTACCCAAAATGTGGAGAAACAGGGTTAACATGACTACGGGGTGATTGGTATGGTCCCTTCACATCTTGGCTATCATCCTCATTATTAAGAATAATATGAAACAATACTGAACAGAGCCAGTGGAAGAGCAATGTGCCCTGTAACTTGTTCTGCAGAAGATAAAATACTAACATTGACATTTAAAACCCAATGAAGTAAAATGAAGCTACTGAGATCTTGGAGGTCAAGCACCAGAGGGAAGCTGCTGTCCCTTTAAGGAATAGTAAAATAGAAGAAAAAAAATCTGACATTCTGGTATGGTAGAGGAGGGATATTGTGTTTACTTTTGGCTAACGGGTCTGCCCCTTGCCTAATACATTCACAGAGAACAGTGTACAACAACAGAATGGAATAGAGAATTCCAGTTCATATCCTTAGTGGACTACAGGAAATACTAGTGGTCCTATAAGCCATATCTACTGACATAAAAATATACGCCAAAGTGCTCGGAAGGTGCCAATATGCAACATGCCTTACCATGCACGCTTGGCTCAATCTATATTCCATTGTGAGTACATCTTGCAGGTTCAAAGAAACTCCCTCTTTAAGCTGCCGAAAGGTTATCTTTAAAGATGTTGGGGACATTTTAGTGATTGTCTGCGGAGGAAAAAAACAAGAAATAGTTGGTGTGTGAATATTTGATCCCAAAGAAGAGAAACTGCAAGCTACAAGTTCAGGTCAGAAGATAAAGTAATGAGTAGATTAACTATACAAGATAAAAATAAAGATACACACCCTAATAAAATTGAAAATTCCTGAAAGACATACATTCAAACAAGGTTTCAATCATGAAATGAATACTCTTCATCTCATCCTCATCTAAAGGTCTTTGGTTCATTATTTTTCTCATAACAGATTTGTAATACTGTAATTCTCCTCATAACTTTTAGCTCAGTCACATAAGATAAAGCTATACTATGATGGCCTAGAGAGTGAACATTACATAAGAAACATTACATAAGAAACAGCAAATCTGAAGTTGATTCTTAAGTAACCTGCTGTAGCTAATGGAGCTCTGGAATCATATACAGGGGCAGAACTAGTCATTTTCCATGTGCTAAGGTATTTTGTCACCCTCCATGCATACCATGGATGATTAGATATGGCTTCCTCAGTTTCCATGGTCATACTAAAACAAACAAACAAAAAACCCCTGATGTCACTGATACTGAAATAGGACAGGCTGTATGAATTCCCAAATGGCCATTCAAAAAACCTTATAGCTGGTTTTTCTTTATTGTGTTCTCTGTGGGCCAGTTTGTTACCTGGAGGAGGGGATGATGCTCAGAAAAGACCTTATAAGAGTAGACAATCAAATGATGATGTGGAATAAATGTAGAAGGTTGGCCATGGATAGCTGCACAGAACAACTCTGGTAAAGAAATACAATGAAGAGCTGCAAGTGTCACCATAATTTGTGTGGAGTGACCTTAGATATCAAGTGGGCACTGCTGCTTGGACAGTTCATAATTAAACTTTATAATAGCTGTAGTAACCATTCCAAATATTTTAATTAACTTTGAAAAGCCAAAGGACTGGTTGGTGGATAAGCCCCTCGCTGGAGTGAAAAAAGGAAGGGATAGCACCTGGGCTTTTACTAAGAGGGAGACGTAAGGGATAGGAAGATATCAGCTAGGATAGAATGGAAGTAATAGAGAGTATGGGTGAGTACAGATTGGCAGTTGAAATGGCTTTTACCAGATGACTGGCCATCAAGGTTGGCTAATGGTGAGTTTGGGTTGTGAAAGGATAGGAGTTAGGTTATTGTCCCCCTGGATTTTGATCCTTCAGCACTCAACTCCAAGTCTGGGAAGGTATGGTAGCAATGAAACACCTTTCTTGTGACCAAGTGTCCTGATGGAGTATGAATGGCTGTGTGTGAAGTTGAGCTATACAAAAACCTGACTGTTGGCAGTTGGGGACAATTATTTTACAATGACTCTACTGTAGAACAGGTCATTCTAGTTAAGGGAGGGGGAAAGACTGGCCTGATAAGTGCTCCCCTGTGAGGTGCCAAAGTTTAGTCCTGCCTCTTCTCCTTCTCAACATCTACATGAAACTTCTGGGAGATGTCATCCATTGGTTTGGAATGAGGCATCATCAATATGCTGATAACTTAGGCTATTGTTGGATTGAGAGTTACAGGACATGGGTGGGAGGGCTACCTAGAACAGAAGGACATGCCAGTGGTAACTCACACTCTTATCACCACACAATTAGACTACTGCAAAGTACTGTACATGGTGCTGGCTTTTGAAGGTCATTCAGAAATGGCATTTGGTGCAAAATGCAGCCGCCCATTTATTGATGAATGAGAGCCACTGTAGCCACAAAACACCTGTGCTAAAGGCCTTCTGGAGGATGACAGGATTGGTGCAGCCTGTGGTTTGCCTTCTGTGGTACTTACTCTTACTGACATGCTTTTAGGCAGTAATATTATATTGATATATGTTTTTATGTTTTTTAATCACTGGGAGTATTTGCCAACTATGGCAATGTATAAAACAAACAAACATATACTGTATACACAGAAAGTTAATGCTCTCTGGACATCAAGAGAATGAAGAGATCTGTGTGTATAGAAGAACCAGGAAAAAAAGAATACAAAATAATCTGTTTCAAGAAAAAAATGGAACCAAACTTAGGCAGAAAGTACACATTTCTGTGAACAACTACTTAGTTATGGTGCAGTATGAGAAAGAATGCATACGGGGGGGGGCTGAATTTGGTAAAAGGAGGAGTGAAGTCAATACTTTCTTTTTTAGTTGAGCAGGACTGAGGAAAGTCTCTGTCCTTGGGTAAGGTGGTGTACAACTTCCTTTCTCAAAGAAGGGGTCTTCTTGTGTCTGGAATGGTCTTCTGTCTGCTGCCGAAAAAGATTTATGTATGTTTTTCATAGAATGTAGAAACAGAAGCTCGAATGGTCTGGCTAACTGTAACATTCAGCTTTGCAAGCTATGTGGTGCTCAATAGGTAAAGGAACAGATTTACCAATTGCTGTTCTTTTTATCAGAATATGAAAACTCCCAACCCATAGGAACAAGTGGCAGGTTTCCAGTGCTCAACCAGTTTTCTGCTCCTGATTACTCAGCTCTCCTGCTTTTTCCAGATGTCAGCTGATAAAAGCAGTGACCCATTTTGCCTAGGCCTTTATATCTGCTAATATGTAGTTGCTGGGCAGATCCTGCAAGCACAAGCAGGATAGTTTTATACCTCTGATTTTGAATGCATGAGTCACTACCAGCTGGCTAAATAGTGGAAGCAATGAGAGGACAAATATTGCTCTACAAAATAGCAAAACAAAGCAAACAACAACACACATTAAAAAGAAAAAACCCAAAACAGACTAGCTTATTAATAGCATCTACTTTCATCCTTAATGTTCCAGTTCCTTTATTTTCTTTACAGTCAGGAGACTGCCAAAAGAGGCTTATTTGATACCTGACTGTCCTTCTAATGAGGAACTCCTGCAGAAGACACACTATTTATCAATTTTATCCTAAGAATCCAAACTCTTATCACTTACAATGCATGAATATCTGACATCTTGCTTCCTGTACCAGTTGATGAACTAATATAGATGCAACAAGCAATGACCAGAGTGAGCTCAGCTGAGTTTAACTGAAACCTGAAGCCTACTCATAACATGGAATGAAGGGAGTGGACAATGGACTGAGAATCCCAAAAAACTGCAATGCATACCAAACTAATGCTGGCAATGTTTGGCAAAATTGTTCCTAGAAGCATTTCAGTAGAGCACTGGAACTCTCAATTTCTTCAAGACATATACCTCTCTGATTAGCTCTAAAACATCTGACAAGGAGCAAAAGTATTGAAAGACCTTGGAGCAATATAGAGCATAGCAATGAAGGACTATTTTCCCACTTCTCACTCCCTACTGGTTTCTAGGCAGCAGCAACCTCTTTATTCACTCTAAGATCACTATAGAATTCCTGGCTTCTGTCTGCTTCCAGCAGCTTTTCAAGCTGCAGCTTTCAAAGCAGCATCTCTGCAAATTTCAGGAGGCCTATGTTCTCTTCTTGATTGCAGGGGATCCTTTGAAATACTGCACTCTGGAAAACTAATAGTCAGTGTGGATTTCTTCAAAAAGTAGCTTATTTTCTATTTTTGTGGGACTCAGTTCTGAGCCAGTCCTACATGAGTCAGGACAGTTTATCCATCTCCAATCTTTTAAGTCTACAAACTAAACTGGAAAGTCTGTTTCTCTTTTATCCATGCTTCACCCATAGTGTTTTTCAGAACAAGATGTTCCTGGAGCATTAACAAGCTTGACAGTTTCCTGCACTGGTGGTTCAAGGTAATTGAAATGATGTAAAAGAATGTAAAAGAAATGATGAAAAAAAACAACAACTGAAAAATGTGAACGGTAGGGAAAGTGCTAAGAAATGCATTACTGACCCTTTCTATTAATACATACACATGTATGTTGCTTAAAGGAGGTGGCAGTCAAAATTAAGAATTTGAACAGAGGATGGAGGAAGAACCAATCAGTTATGTGAAAGGCAGACTATATGCTAACAAGGGAGATTAACTTGCCCTTGATAAAAATGCTGTCTAGAGAGAGACCCTGATTTTTGCAAGGAGGATTTAAACCCTGGTAAACTGCAGCACCTGATATTCTTCAATTCAGTGCAGACCAGGGAGACTCAAAAAAAATCGGGCAGACAGGCAGAAAAGCAGCATCCAACTACAGCATTTAGTTCTTTGAGAAACTGCTTTTATTCTCATTGTGGAAAGAAGAATAATGGATGGATGAACAGCTGTGCTGTCAAGAGACGGCTAGAAATGAAGCTGCCCCAGATTAAGGGATCTTCTGGGAAATTGTAGCTTTACTAATCAAGCATCTCTCCTGTGTGCAGTGTTTATTAATTGAGTGTAGGAATATCAGTCCTCTGAGTTAAGCAAGGTCAAGAAACACTTTTTTATTGTTGTAGAGTAGAATAACAGAATCTGACTGCCTGTCAGGGTTTCTTTCTGCCCCATCTTGTACCTGAATTGAGTTCTGCTCTGACCTATCAATAAATGTAATGTATTATGGGTTGCCAAGGTATCTTAAATCAAAAGGTTCAGATGACAGAAAACTATATTCCATTTTTTCCATTTGCCCCTTAATAAGCACTTATTAACTCTCTGCACAGCAACAAAAACAACATATAGAAGACAGGCATCTGTTACATCTAATCGTGCAGTAGATTGAGTTTTATTAAATAACTGTTCCAGGGTGTGCAGAAAGAACTAACATCATGTGCCTGGACTTGGGGAATGAACACAGCTGCACTCATCCCACTGTAGGTTTAAAACTACAGTACACGCAATAGTTGAATCCAATATAAAATGATGTTTTACAAAAACAAACAAACAGAAAAGAGCAATATGTCTATTCACAATTAAGCCTAAATGTATCTCGTGGGATTTGCTCCCAGGGAAGTGATTACAGAATTGAAGCCTAAGTAGGAAACAGTGAGAAATACCCTAGTTTTGCCTAGTTCTCATATACAAAATCCATTTAATAGCAATTATTGTTCTTGCATTGCTAATTACTGATGCAAGCACATAAGCATTGCAAAAATTATTATTATAAACTGTAATTATTAATTTATTAAATAAGAAAGCTTTCTGTGATCACAGGCAAGCATCTATACCAGAATAATTGGGCAGTACATATACCAAAAAAAAAAAAAAAATGCCCTGATGTCGTTCTACCAATAATAAGCCTCCTACAGCAACTTGTTATAATTGTGCCTTTAATTATACTTGAACTATATATCAGATAGAGCTTTACAACCCCAAAAGCTATATTTCGACAAAAACACAATGAAATTATAAGTAACCATTTGATATATACACACACACCCAAAGTATGTAATTAGAACATGTAAGAAATAGAAATAACAAAGTCAGTTCTAATACAAACAAATACAACTTGGTTAAAAAATAGACTGTACTTATAGTATAA